CTCTCTCTCTCTCTCTCTCTCTCTCTCTCTCTCTCTCTCTCTCTCTCTCTCTCTCTCTCTCTCTCTCTCTTTGAATTCTCTGTCTTTGCTACTATGAGGATCACAACCCTGGATACATCTGCCTCCTACTCATGCGCTACAGCTACTGCTACTATAGTGGCTATGGCCGCCTGTCTTCCACAGCACAGCGCTTCCGAGCAGGGCTTTCTTAGTGCTCAGTCCACTCGCAATAGTGCACAAGCACCAACAGCGGTTCCACCTTCTTGCGACTGAGCAATCTGCTGCAATGAGGCTGGGTCAGTCTTCTTATTGGGTTGGACTGGGCCTGTACTTCACTTGGCCTTTGCTTGACTTGGCCTGGGCCTGACTTGACTTGGTACCAGTCGCCCGCGGCCTGTTTGCTTTGGAATATTGAGGCCCGGTAGCTTCCACACTTTTCTTGGGGCGCTGCTGCGTTTTGACTGTGGGACTGGACTTTGAGGCTGGGTACTGGTTAAATTTTGACCTGTATTCTTCTGGCCTTCTTGACCTCTTTTGACTTGGGGACTTGGACCTTGAGACTCGAATTTGGGGTCTGCAATGTATTGAAGTCGTTCACTCTCGCCGGCCTGATGACATAGTGAACTTAGACCCGTAGGCATTCATCAGCTGTTGCCAGTGCTCGCCTGTAAACCTTGTGTCCCTGTCACTTACTATCGTAAAGGGATTTCCGTAGCCTTTAACCCAATGATTAGAGGATTTTTGGATTACTATGTCTGTCTTTGCCTCTGCAGGAAGTGGAACAATAACAGCAAAAGTACTGAATCTGTCTACAGTCACCACCACCTGACTTTTCCCATTCCTACTTCTGACTTTATTGTCCATAAAGTCTATAGACATGAAGTCTTCAGGAACCAAGGGGAGGCTACGTGGAACTCTTGTTCCTATGACACACCTTGCAGCCTTGAATGTAAGCTATACAATCATGCTTCATTCCTGTCCATGTGTACGATCGGTGGAGATCAGCATGTCTTTCTCCAACCGAAATGTCCTTCAGTGTCGTGACATTCCCCTAGGATTAGACTAGGAACTTCTTTGCTGCTCGGGATGCACAGTCTATCGTGCACATCAGTCCTCTCAAACAGCAATCCTCGGGTCAATCTGTACTTCGGAACTTCGTGCGGTGCAGTCCGCACCTCATCAATCAACTTACTATACATTGGATCATCAGCGTAGGCGGTCCTAATCTTCTCTTGCATGTCGGTGCCAGCATCAAGGTAAGTTACTATGACACCAAAGAAATCTGCTCGCCTACCCAAAGCTTAGCGACCAGATTGTACTTTTCTTTTACTGGTTTTTGTTTAAAGTCAAATTGATCAATCTCACCAGCCCACCTAGTCAACTCAGGAGACATCAGGGCCTGGATCTTCAACCAGCGAAGTGTCTCATGGTCAGACGAGACTTTAAAGTGTCGTCCTAGGAGGTAATGTTGTTAGTGATTCAATTCCTCTCTAAGAGCGAACAACTCACGCTCATGCATTGAGGCTGCCACCTTCCCATTAGGTAGTGTACA